CCCCCCCCCCCCCCCCCCGCCGAGCGGGTACTCGGAGACAGGCAGCTGGAGGCGGGTGCTGCAGCCGAACAGGTAACAAGAATAACCCCCCCCCCCCATGAGTGCTCGGATCTCTGCTCCCCAGGGGCGGGGGGAGCCCAGATTTCGGGGGGGGGGGGTTGTAAAATCGCTCTTCCACGTGAAGGGGGCGACCCTTAGCGGAGGGGGCTTGGGCTGTGACCCCCCATCTCCCAGAACTGATTGGATTTTCACCCCTAAGCATCCCACAGCTGAGGCTGCCTCGGACTCCTGGGTCCCTCCTGGCTGCAGAAGGGGGCTGCCTGGGTTTCTTGGCCATTTCCAGCATCTCATTTTCCCCTTCTCCCCTTTCCAGGCCTGCAAGACATTTGTGTGGGGGGCTTGAGATCCAAAGGTGACCCCCCCCTCCCCTGCAGCGCCCAGCGCCTGCTTGGGAAGAAGAGATCTGCCGCCAGGAGCAGCTGCCCGCCTTCCTTCTGAGGGGCGATCTCCCCCGCCCCCTAACCAGCCATGCCCCATAACACCATCCGATCAGGTAAGCTCTGCCCAGCCTGGGCCTCCTCCGTCCTCCATCCGATCCCCGCGCTGGGCTGGATCGGAGCCTGCGCTGCGAACCCACTTGGCGATGGAAGACTTGGGGCTCGGGGTGTGTGAGAAATGCTGGCTCCAAGGGGGGGGGGGATTCCGCCCGAGATGAGCCCCTCCAGCAGTTCACCTCCGGTCTCCTGTGGATGGGCCATTTCTTCCCCTGCCCGAGAGCCGGGCCAGCCCGATACTGGGTGTGTCTGTGGGTCTCTCCCCACGGGCACGTTTGCTTTGCGGTGACGCTCCCTGGTACCTTCTATGGCTGGTTGATCGCGGGCCCCTCGCTTTGGGAAATCTCCCAAAAGGGAGCGAGACCCCGGAACAGAAGGAAATCTCCCCTTCGGCGGCCAGGCGGGAACGGGCATTTTCAGTTTCAAGTCAAATTGGAATAAAGTTTAAAGTCAAATTTGCCCCGTTCTGAGTGCTGAGTTTCCAGTCACTTCACCAAGGGTCCGGATTGAACCCAGCCTCCATCCCGAGCGACCCCCGTTAGCAGGACGGAGGCTGCTTTTGCGGGGCCTAGTACAGTTTATTTTAACGGGAGAGAATTGTGGGATTTTTTCCCCAAAGAAGGAGAAAAAACTCTCCCAGATTTAAATACCCCGCAGTTAATCCCGGGGTAATTATGTAATTAAACCCTCCTCATTAAAATATAGAAATGATCCCAGCCGGGCGCCCCGAAAGCAGGGAAAACACGGGCGTAGATCCTGCGATGTGTGAGTTTCACTTGAGCACTTGAGCTGCAGGAAGCGGCCCGGGATGAATATTGACTGGGCAGTTGGCGGGGCGAATACATGGGGGGTTGGGGCAGCGGGGATCCGAGTGTGCCGGGAAATCACCGCTCCCTCGCCCGGTGTGGGAATAAACACGAGCCGCCCGCGGGAAGCAGGGGGCTCTGGGCAGGGGCTGGCACGGATGGAGAAAAGCCCTTGACAAACAAAACCAAACCCCGCGCGGGCTGCTAAAAGCCACGCCGGGCTCTGGTGACCGGGCCGGGGACAAGGCAGGTGGGCGGACAGGGGGACCTGAGTTGGGGAAGCGGGGAGTTTGCAGAACTTTTCCTTCGCTTCGGCCGGCTCCGCTTCGGGTCCTGCTGGCCCACGGAGGAGACTGTGGGAACGGGATGGAAGCCGGCTGCACATTATTATTGCTGGTGGGACGTGGCTGCTTTGGGGACACGCGGCGGGGCCAGGGGGTTTCGGCTTGACACCTTTTCCGGGGCGGGGGAGGGGATCCAAGTGGCTATTTGCCCCACAAGCTCCTGTGTCTGTCCGAAGCTACTAACCCGGGGTGTGTGCGGGGCAGGCAGGGAGACAAACGGGGATTTACAGAGAGCGCTTCGCGTCTATTGATCCCGGAGACACAATCGATAGTTCACATTAATTCCGGGCGAAGATAAAGTCCAGCCCCGTAAAGGACGCGTGAGATGTAATAACGCGGGGTCGGAGCAGGGCACTGAGGTATCGATGTATCTCTCTATTCAGGTTGTTGTGTAACACACCCCAGTGTCCCTCCGGTTCTTGTGTAAACCCAGCGGGTCCAGGTAACTGGTGAGAATGTCAGTGGCTGAGCTGCCGGCCCCGAGCAGTGTGTTTCCATGGAGCGGGGCCTCGTTGATCCGGATCGGGGCATGTTTTAGTTGTGTGGTTTCAGTAGCGAAGGGACTCGGATCTGCGCTGCCCCTTGGCACATCAGACCTGAGCCCGGCTTTGTGCTGATCGCGGGTCGGGTCCCGCTTTTTCTGCCAGCAGCCCCTGGCTGGGGGGGGGGGGGGAGTCCAGGTTATTTTCTTTGCGTTAAAAATAAATGCACCGAACGTGTTTCTTCCCCCTGCACATCAGATCCCACATTTCTCTTCGCGATCTCGCGTCCCTTTTCCTTCGCCTGCCCTCCCGCCGGCCCTGTGTAAACCGGTACATACTGGGGCTGCAGTGTGGAGCCTGAATTCGGACTCACCGGGCCGAATTGAGTTTAAACAAATCAGACTGATCCAGGGACTTTACCATGTAACAAAGAAAATCGGAGAGGAAATAAATCTATTTCTCCCACGCGAAATCGGTCGGTAAACTCCAAGTAGTCGATTGGGGGAGGGATAGCCCGGTGGTTTGAGCATTGGTCTGCTAAACCGAGAGTTGTGAGTTCAATCTTTGCAGGGGCCATTTAGGGTTCTGGGGCAAAAATCTGTCTGGGGATCAGTCCTGCTTTGAGCAGGGGGTTGGACTAGATACCTCCTGAGGTCCCTTCCAACCCTGATATTCTAGGATTCGTTTCTACTTCTGCAGTTTCCTTGTTTAAGGAGAAACGAATCTCTCCGCAGGTCACTGCAATGCAATGTCCGCTGGCCTGGCTTGCGCCGGGGAGAAAAGCCAGACACGTTTTTAAAACAACGAAGCCCCTTAACGACCCAGCTGCGCTGTCCTCTGCCACCTCCAGGTCTGTTTCCATCCCCAGCATTATTCCAACCCAAGCGACAGCAAACACCGGGACCCTACAAAGCGCGGCCGGATTGTAGGAAGTGTCATTTTTTTTTAAAAGAAAAATTGATTTCAGGCGATTCTGCTCCCAGCGTCTCCGGCACAAACACACAAGTCAAGTTGTCTGTGGTTCCGGGGTTTTGGTCAGTGTATTTTCTCTCTCGCCAGCTCGTTCACTCCCCGGCTAGCGGATTTGGGGGTTAGTTTGATCGCCCCCGGCCCCGCTTCAAACATCGGACTATGCTCGGATCTGGAATTCCCCGAGCGGCTGGTCCTTCTTTTTCGGCTGACTCTGCTGGGACAGGGGAAAATGAAAATCCCAACTAAACAATGAACATTGTCACCAAAAGCCATTTTCAAAGGCACGAAGGGCCATTTTCCAGGCAGGTTCGTGTTTCATGCAGGGCCAAAAATAGGGCGCAAGAATATTAAAAAGGAAAGGAAAGGAAAAGAAATCTAAACTACAATACACGGGGCTTCCCCCAGTCCCAGGATTAGTTCAGTGGGGAGGCACGGAGAATGTTGGGGTTGGTGTTAGACTGAAAAGACACCAGTGTAATCCGAGGCCCCCAGAGGCCCAATCCCCGGCTATCCAGAGACCTGTGTGTGGGGGGGGGGAGGAGGGGGTTCTAAGACCCAGCCTTATATTTTTATTTTTATTTATTTTTAGACGGTTCTCGTCCGCTTCCGCCCCCACTCCCAGCCCCGCAAGAAAAAGTCCTCAATGAAAGTTAATTAGGAGATAATTTAGCTACCTCCTGAATTAGTTTCAAGATAAGTATCTTTTCAGGCTTTGTCACTTTAATTGTCGCAGTGATGGATGGAGAGTAATTGTTTTTGACTGACACTTTTTTTGAAGTCACATTCAGGAATTTATTCTGTTTTCTTAGTTTACCCAGGGTTTTTCATTATCTTGTCATAAATCTACGGTTACATTCCGGGGGGAAAGGAGGGGGAAGGTTAATTAATTTTAAAGGGTCATCTTGCCACTCGTCCTTCTGATTTTATTTTTTTTAAATATGGCCTGGGACAATGGGGCAAAGAGGCTGCAAATGTATCCAAAGGAATGTGTGTGATTGCTGAGGGAAGGGGTTAAATATGAAAAGACATTCTGTGATCACAGGACGGAGCGCGGTGGATCCTTCATGTCTGGGCCCAGGGACAGCGACATCAGACAAACAAGTAAATACATAAAAGAAATGACCTGGGTGCTGCATAGCTGTGATTTCTTATCACTGGGTATTTCTCTATCTAGATACAAACATATGCACACCTGCCTAGATCGCAAGGTAGATGTGTATTAGTGTGTCTACATTAGAGCTCTGCTGTGTACGTTTTATGTCTAGAGGCCTACCAGTATCTATGCTATATAGACAGGTGTAAATGTGCTGGGATTCTCCTGTGTAACTGTGGGGTGTGTGTCTGTGTATTGCAAGCTGCATTGTGTTCTCCTGTGTTTGTAACTGTGTACGTTTTATATGGAGCTGTGTAGCAAGCTGCAGTCTAGCAGTGGGTGTGTACCGCACACAAGGGCCTACATCTGAGCAAGAATAAGGAAGGACACCCAGATAGATCATGTAGCCACAAACCATAGATTGCAGAACGCTCACCCAGCTCTGTGACATGGGCATAGCCAGGAGGTAGCTGCTCACTCTCGTATCTCCATCCCGGGTCTCAATCGCACACATGTGAACCACGCCGCACGACTCACATGTGAATCCCGTCCCAAGCAACTCCAGGCCTTGTCTGCAGGAGGAGCGTAGCCAGCAGAGCTGTACCGACCTGGCTATGGCAGCCAATCCTGTCCTGGGGCTGGGACAGATCCTCAAGGCAAACAAGCGTGACCAGTATCACCAGCTGAGGCTGTTGCCGGTACAGCTCTGAGGCAGGGGTGCTGGAACTCAGGGTGCAGGGTTTAGTTTGATTCAGTGGCTCTCAGCCCCCCCACTGTACAAATTGTTCCAATGCCCCTGTGGGCACCCCTCCCCCCATCCCCAGAGCCAGGCTGGCAAAACTTGGAACCTGTAGATGCCATTTGTAAAGTGGCTCGGGCGCCGGGAGCCCGGATCCGTGAGGCAGGGGCGTCTGGCGAGTGATCTCAGGGCCGGAGTCCAAGTGGGTTTCATGTCCCAAGTCGCTTTGAGGCTCTTTGGAACGTTTTGCTCTGTCCGGAAGCAGGAGCAGTTCAGCACAGGAGCTGAGAAGGCTGATGGGCTGGGGGGGGGGGGTAATTATAGCACTCGACGAGAGTAGTCCCAGTAACCCGGCCCTGCTCAGCTCCAGGAGGGGGCAGGCTAGCAGATGTCCCAATATTAGGGGCTTTGTCTTCTATATGCAACTATAACACCCCCCCCCCCCGCAAAAAAAAACGTGTCCTGATTTTTCACACTTGCTCTCTGGTCACCCTAGTGCATGCCCCAGGGACTGATCCTTCTCTCCCTTGTAATTTACATCAACCCAAGGAGCCCCCCTGCCT